GTTCCCAACCGGCAGTTAAAAGAAAAGTGGACAAGCCCACGACAAGCCTTTCAGCTATAATGCCCAAATAAACAGTATGATGAGGCATAGGCATACATCTCCCTTGACATTTAACGTGGTCGGTGGGGAGATCTCTCTCTCTCTCTCTCTCGTCTGTTTGGGGGGGCAGGGCATCTCGCTCACAGACTCGCTGCAGCACCGTGCACACAAAGATCCGCTGGGGGAGAACAGAGCGTTCAAAAGTGACAATCTACAGAGCTCGATGTGGTCAATTCGCCATAAGTATTTTCGCGTAAACACGAGCAATCTGTCCACCAGCTGGCCAAAAGGCATCATATTCATACGGAGAAATGCACCGTTTTCAACTTCCTTAACTCGGAGTTCTGTTGCTCCAATGGTAAGGTGGGAGAAGTACTCAGAACAAATACCTACTTAAGTAAAAGTAGTATACTGCAGGGTAGCTTGTGAATTTACTTATTTAAGAGTTGATTATATTTCACATCATTAATCCACATCTGTAAAGTAACTAAAGGTATTAAATACATGTAGTGGAATAGAAGTACACCATCTACCTCTGGACTGTAGCTGGAGCAGAATTACAAAGTACCTCAATATAAGTACAGTACTTGAGTAAATCTACTTAGTACCACGACTGCAGGTATTTTATGTGTGCTAGCAGCCCATAATCCACACTATACATACAATAAATCATTGTTAATTCTGTTTCGAATTTGTTTAGTTTTTCCCTTAATAAAGAACAAAAATAACCTATAAAATACTGTTAAAGAACCGGATCCAAACTTTTAAGTCCCGCCTAAAGACCCACCTCTCTTTCCTCGCTTTCGAGTGAGTTTGAGTTATGTTTTATCGATTTTTATGCTTTTATTGTCTGTCCACTGCTTTTATGTACCTTGTATTAATTCTTATGTGTGCCTTTTATCTTTTCTTATGTGTGCCTTTTATCTATTATTGTAATATTATCTTTTATTATAATGTTATGTTTGCTGTGAAGCACTTTGGTAAACCCTCTGTTTTTAATATGTGCTATAAAGATAAAGTGGATTGGATTGGATCGATAAGCAGTATTTGTAATTGTTTCAATTAGGCCTCATTATTTCACATTGGAACAGGATCATCTGCCAATACAAGCACTTTTGTTCATGTTCATCTGTTTGTCTTGTTATTATTAGGAGAGAAAATGTAATGTTTGTACAACTATATACAAATAATTATACCAATCTCGGTGGGAACCGGGTTAGGGGGGGCTCGAAAATATTTCCAATTACATAAATATTTCCAATTTTACTGACGGAAAAAGATTGGGAACCACTGGTTTAATCAACTGTGATAAAAAGATTATTACCAAAACCATGAACAACAGACTAGCATACATCTTACCTAATATCATCCATCATAATCAAACTGTATTTATACAAAATAGAGATTTAAAAACCAATACTAGAATATGCTTATCTTTAATACAGTATATGCTAAGACAAATAATAAAGATTTAACACTAATGGCAGTGGATGGAGAAAAGGCCTTCGACCGAATTGAATGGTCATATCTGTATAAAGTGCAGAAACGTCACTATCAGAATCAATGCCCGACTTGTTTTGGACGTAATATGGTCTTTGTTTACATTAGCAAGCATGCTAACACTCAGAGCTAACCAGTACTGGAGAGAGCATGTGTGAAGAAGCAGGAAATAAAAAAAGGAACTCACCTTGTGGTAAACCGGAGAGAGAGAAAGCCTTTGAGATCCATACTGTTTCAGAAATAATCCTTGACGTGGTTTTGACGTTTCATCACCGCAGCATTTATTTTAGACAGTATCTGCCGGGTCCCGCATTGGCAGGCATAAGCTCCGCCCCCTCTTTTTTCTTTTTTTTTAATGCTTTATACCCCGAATCAGCACTTTAGTAACAGGAAGTGAAATAGAGGGATATGAGGCATGGCTAGAATGGGTGATCTGTTTGGTATTTTGAGCAAAACACTTCATAGACATGTTTTTTATATATTTTTATATATCTGAGTCCTATGCTATTGCCTAAAAATGGCATGATAGGTGACCTTTAATTCCAGGGGACAAAGCATACCCAACAACACCACAAAAGGGAGGGTTTCAAAGTTGAAAGATTTTGACTTTCTTAAAATCAGGGTGAACACAGGCGAACAAAGTTTGAATTTTTATTTTTTATTTGAGTAGTATTGAAGTCTTACATGTTCTAGAACCCAATGACAGGACTTTAATTGCATGATGTGAATATATAATATAGCTTTAATGCACATATTAATGTGGATAACACAAAAAGCCAACATGAAATGACTAAAGAAGGAGAAGAAAAAACACATTATAAAGGTCAGATAATGAACAGTTAAAATATATTATACATGCTTAGTATAATGGACTTGATTTAATTTCTACATATCATAAATATATGAATATATAAGAAGCTACATTTTACAGTTCTAAATGTATTTCATGATTTATATGAACATTTGGTAGAACTTTACAATACAGCTCTGTACACTTACACCATGGCTGTTGGATTGATCGGTAAAGTATGAACGTTGAAGCACAACGTTAAAGGTCACCTACCGGTATTATGCAAAATCCACTTCTTCATGTCTCTTCTACTTCAACATGTGCCCCCTCTGTGTAAAGAGATTCTGAAAGTTTCAGGAAAAAAGATTCTCACTCTTTTTGTCCTGATCCATTTATATAAAAACCTGTCTGAAAAAGAGCCGATCAGATTTTGGCCACTTTATGATGTCATAACGATGTTTTGGCTTGTGTAACCATTAGCCAATCAGCAACCCCCCCCCACATTATCACCTGAATGTCCTCCTCGAGCAGCATTGTGTTCTTTTTAACCAAATCTCTCTCAGAGGGGCGTGGGGAGTGGCTCCTTATTTTCATCTAAAGTAACAGACAGAGAATCAGCACTTTGGAAACAGGGCTGAAACAGAGGGGATTATGGGATGCTGCAATTCAGAGACATGCTTTGTATATATATCTGAGACCTATAATATATTGATGAAAAACAGTATAATAGGGGACCTTTAACATTTATAATGCACCCGTTATGTGCGAAGCAGGACTTGCTGTAATTCTTTAGAAATGAATGATGTTTAATGATTTCTCCCTAAGGGTCCATATATACCAGAACAAGTCAATGTGAACTCTATGGCCTATATAAAACAATCATGAGTTCTTAAACTTTGGTTAAGACAAATAAAACTCTATGCTGACTCAGTGTGCATCAACATGGCGGCGCTGAGCCCTGAGTTGGACTTGCAGTTTATTATAATTGCGGTGTTGAAGACGGTTTACCTGGGAATATATCAGGTTGGCATGACATTGGATGGCTTTTGAATAAGTGACAAACTTGCTGAGATACAAATTGGTTAAGTTAAAGCAGACGTTTATGGGGGTTAAGGAAAACAAGTTCTTAAAATGGACCGCCACTCATTTACCCCTAGTTGTTTACAACTCCTAGTTGATCCATACTGAAAAGATGACAACCAAAAACAGAGCGGAAACTGTGACATAGACAACAAAGAAAATGTTGTCCAATTTTCTAGCCAGTCTGGTCCAGTAGTCAGGCTTCCTTTCTTCCTTCCTGCTGAGGAGCAGAGAGAGTGCTTTCACCGCCTCACTCAGCTCATCTGGGAGCTTCTCCAAGGAATTGGACTCCTCCATCAGTTGGCTTCTTTTGTCCTGCAGAAGTTATTTAGTGGAGTGATCAGTGGCGACGCCAGAGTATTTTTGTTGGGTAATATATGGTAGGGCTAACCCATACAGTGGTGGGGCTCAAGTCAGTATTTGCAATGTAATTACATACACGCTATATCGTCTCCCATGACAGTGAAACGCCACGCGTGAGGTTTAGATTATTTCCCTGTCTCAATCAAAATGGAACTGTATGAAATAAAACGGTACATTTGTCTTGTAGTAAATAAAAAGGGATCACTGTGAACGTGACGTATGATAGTACACGTTGAAGATCCAATGGGGATATTGAATGGCGGTTCCGATTGATCTCAATCAGTAATGCATGACGCAGACCCAACGTTTCGTTGCTCTGATTGGCTGTAGGTCTATTCAAATTGCATTCGGAGGCATTTTGATCTGACCGCGGCCGCGCTGATATTATAACGCCAGAGAATTTCCACACCTTTAGTGTATAAAACTCCCCCACTACTTAGACTATTCCTTGCACCCCTCTTCTAGCATAAGCCCGAATGGTCTCAACCATATTGCATCAGTAACGTGCACTTGTTGTTACAGCAGGATCAGTTTGCGTGTTGTGGACACGACCCGTATATTTTCGCAAGCCGTGTTCTCAACATTTAGCATTTTGCTTATTATTTAATTTAATTTGCTTACTTTAACATAATTTTTCATGGTGGGGCTAAGCCATTTCTTGGTATGGCTGTAGCCTACCCCAGCCATACCCTGGCGCCGCCACTGGGAGTGATCATTAACAAGTTTATAGACCATATCAAATTGAAAACCGTTTCACTTTTACTATTCCTATTTGTGTCCATTGTGGTGAGAATAAAGTGTTAGTTCATCAGACAAACATATTCACTTACAATGTCCATAGTGCTTAAAGAATTAAAATGTTTAATCTAAAATAAATCAACTGTATCTCTTTCCAGAACAAAATCTCTGAAACGTATTAAATGTTGCTGTGAACTGCTTTTATACTTCCCTCATTTTAGTTCGCTTTGTTTTTAAAATGTGGGCAAACATTCCCTTTACAGAGTAACCCAACTCTCACCTCTTTGGCCACAGACAGCAGTTCAGATGGCGGTTCATCAGACACATTACACACCCAAGCACAGCGAGTCCATTTCTTCACATCTGAAAGGAAATTGTTGACACAGGACAGCGGCATGTTCAAAATAATGTATTATTAATTGTAGATGTTTCTTTGTGTATTCCAAACATATGAGTAAATACAATATAACAATAGTTAAAATCCACAGGTTTAAAGAATGTGTTCAGTCTCACCTCCATCATAGTTGCCCTGTTTGTCTTTCTCAATCAGATACATCACCAAAATCGTCTCCAGAAGGCTGATCATTATCAAAACAAACATCGCAATGCAGTACACCGCTGAAGAGAAAAGGCATCATCATTAAAGTGGACGAAAGATAAGCCATTGTTGTTCCTGCTTGAATTAAATGAAAGTCCAATTAAATAATGACTGAGCTGCTTTACCTATAAGCGGTATCCTGTCTGAAGAGGAAGGCAGAATGTCGTTGAGAATAAGCTGCATCACAGTGACAGCGAGCAGCACAGTGACCTTGAAGCTGACCTTCTCGCCCCCGCTGTCTGACATCAGGAAGGAGGCCAAGTCCAGACACAGGAAGAACATGATGGGCACTAAGAAGTTGACGATGTAGAGGCCAGAACCCCTCTTCATCTTGATCTGTGATCCAAGATGGAAAAACAGTGAATCTGTTCACTAATGCTGCAATGATCAAAAACATTATTGATTATGGGTTTAAGTTATTTTGCATGCAATATGAAAGATATTGCTCCACTGAAATATGAAGTTTCCTGTTTATATCATTTATTTATATTTTATATTTTATCACAGTGGTTAAGGATGATTAAGAGGCCACCATCAAAAATGTGCAATTACAATGTATCCAATGAACAACAATGTCAATGGGTTTGCTCTTTTTTATTCTGCTGTTTAGAATGCAAGCTAAATAAAACCAGCAAGTGGAGCTGCAGACATTTCCATGCAAATGTTTGCAGAAATAAATAAAAGTTAAATGTACAACACACTTACAGTATAAATTATAACGCTTTGGTTTTCATAAAAATGCGGGACAGATCGGCTCTGGACTGTAATGCTGATGAGCAGCCACTCAGACTCGTTACCCAACGATTGGCGAGTCCATTCCGTTATCACTGTACTGTTTTCTAAGGCTTCAAACTTCAACTCCTCCTCTAAGGTGAAAGTGAAGATACAAGTTTGAGATGTCAAAACAGGATAAATGCATGTGCTGGTGTGTGCTCATGTGACAATTAGACTTTAAAGAGATAATTACCACAAACGTGCAATCAAACACACAACTTACATATTTGAGATAAATGTCTAGAAACTTCTGAAAGCTCACCTGGGTAAACGATAGACTTGAGAGACAAGGTGCAGCTCTGAATATCAAAAGGAAATTTGTAAACTTGCAGCTTGCACGTGCTGACCACCATAAAGTCCCTCACATGTTGAACGAGACCGTTCGAGTTAATGGTGATAAAGGGAGTGCGAACAGCTTTGTCCTTCTCGATCCTGTATGACAACAAACATACATTTGTACAAATTATAGCAAACACTTTATGCTTCAAACTGATTTTCACATTGTGTAATATTTTAATAGAATGAAACATTTATCTAAATTATGATACTATTGTTTAAGTCTGTATTTTCCTAAAATATTCCCTCATTACTTTAAATATAGAAATACTATCCACACACTATAACAATATCACACATCTCTATATCTTAAATATGATTAACCCGGCTCAAGTCAGTTGAGGGGTATCTGCTTCATTGTTCATTGCATTCTAACCACAGCTGTTTTCCACACAATACATAGGTGTACAAATATAATTGTACAATATGTTTAAACCTTGTTGCATCATCTTTTTACATCCATATGATTTATTGTGCATGTCCTTCTTAATAATAACAGGCTCCATCACCATTTACTGTTGTGAGTGTGTGGATTTGTGAGTATGCACAAAAAATTCCAACTTACATCTCTAAAATCATTACATCTGGCTTCCAAAACAAATCAGCAGAAACTCTGATCGTCCTAAGGCCACCAAAGTTGTGTGGTTTCCAATAAATATGCGGATCTTCCCATTTCTACACAGGAAAACAAGGAAGAAGGGAAGAAAACAAAGATAAATAAAGACCTTTAAGATGCAATCTACAGCAACTGATTTCAACCTACAGTAGAATAAACAGTATAGGAAAATCACAAATTGGTTCTCAAAACAAACTCACCATATAAATCCCAACGAAAGAAACGAAAGTCTGGTCCATCTCTCTCTGTAACCGAAGGAATGGTGTGAACATTTTGACCACACTAAGGTAGCTGACCTTACAGGCCAAACTGTCATAAAACATTGCACTTTGAAGTTAACATGCTGACTACCTTCAGTACGTGGAAAAGAAGTAAAAACTCCTTTGTAAACCCACTTTGTGATTTCGCTGCATTAACGGGGTCACACTAAGCAAAGCCCGAACGATGTTTCTTCTAAAATTCAAGGTAGCATTGGGGGAGAAATTGATTAAAGGTATTCTTTTTGGGATGACGTAATTTTTGTGGACACTTTGTCGCACTATTCTGACTTGTATATGCTTCCTTCAATAGTGCTAGTATATGGCTGTTTCCTAGAGGCACTATGTACAAGTACTGATCTGGTACAAATCGTACTATGACGCTCTCCCTGCAGTGATCCGCAACAGCCCGTGGGTGTTTCTCAATGTCGAGTAAAGCTGCTCCAGAGCCACTATTTCAAGCATACTACGTCACTCTTCCAATGTCCAGCATACTTGGAATTCTACCGAGGCCGGCGTACTTCGTCGCGAGAAATTTCGAGGCTGCACATGTGTAGACTCTGAGGTCTTAAAATCCCCACAATGCTTTGCGCACGGACCAATTTCCAAATCTTTGGCGGAAATCGCGCTTTATTTAAGGCGGGGCCTCGCATATGACGCACACCTGCACACCTGTTAGCCTGTTACACCATTTTTCGTTTTCCGAGGCTAGGAAGGATTCTTGCCTCGCTTCTGAAGGATCTGACTCGGAGGGACTTGTTCTACCAAAGAAGCGTCCTCGACATTAAGAAACACCCCCTATGAAGAAACTATGTACAAGTACGGATCTGGTACAAATCGTACTATGGCGCTCCCTGCAGTGATCCGCAACAGCCCATCTCTTGACGCCTTTAAAAGGGCGCTCAAGTCCCACCTGTTTAGCAAGGCCCCTCATTTATTTGTTGTTTTGTTTGTCTGACTGTTTACTCCTGTTTTTTCTGTAAAGCGACCTTTGTTCCCCTGAAAGGCGTTATAAAAATGTAAGTTATTATTATTATTATTATTATCAGTTAGGAAGAATTGCATGCTATATTGAAATGTATGCTGGGCTGTTTTTTGAGAGAGTCTTTTGTTCTTATTAAACTAACTTATCCTATATTTTGATTTGACTTTACTGATTGCTTTTTTGGCTTTCATGTGTATTACCGTGTGTTTGTACGGTTCAACTGTTTTATCTTGGTTTTTGTTGTTTTTGGCTGCTTTCCACAGCAAAAAATAATGATTATCTTCAAAAGAAAAAAAAAATCAAAGTTGCACTTACCACATCTAGAATTGACAGAATTGACAGTCCGACATAGACCCATGTTGGTTTTTTGTAGTTTTTGGCAGGTCGGACAATTGTGCGCAGCCCCTTGGTTTTGGTCAGGTTCAGGCATTCTAAAACATCTTGATAGGTGAACCTAGATTCTATTGGGAGGACATCAAAACAATATCTCTATCAGAGAGTCAATTTAGCCTATTTACCACACCCTATTTATGTTTAGTCAACATACCTGATGCCCACATTGAGCTCATCAGAAGACCACTCCTCATCACACACAGAGCTTCAGCATCTTCCTCATCTCATCATCACCAGGGTTTAGACTCCACAGGTGGGTCAGTACTCTACTTACGGCTTCCCCAGCCCCTTCAAATATCTGGGATCCCGATGTTGTCTTATCCACATTAATCATCCTTCTTGTTGGCTAAAACATGTGCCACTTAGAAAATAAGTCTTGTCTTATTGACATATCTGTTGTAATATCCAGTGGTTGTGGTCACTGAAGGTCATCATTAGATGGGTGTCGGCAGGACAGCATGGATGTGTGTCATCAGTCCACTAATAACTTTGAAATGTGAGCATTTTCCCAATTATTGTTTTACATTTAAATTGGGCTCTCCATTTGAGGTCCATCTGCTCCACATTGTCAAAATGCTTCAACGTCAGACCTCATGCATTCAACAAACCAAGTTTAGTTTCTTTATATAATTGTTGTGTTTGCTATTCACACCAGTAACAATCAGTTTTATTACCTTGTGACAAAAACTGCGTTAAACTTATCCAGTGTTGACAACAGACAAGTGTATTCATTTTTAAAGAGTTCTATTAATAAAGTAGAAATAGAATAACACATAATTACTGTGTACTTACTGTGACGGTCATGAGCACATGGTCCTCTCTTAATGGAGGGTTGGCCAGGAAGCCTTTGTTGTTCCAAGTCATTGATTGTTTTTCCACCTGACAGGAAAAAGTATACAGCTCTTAAAGTGATTAAACTGAAGCAGGTTAAAGTGTTGTGCATCTGTTAGCAAAAGCTAAGAACACAATTATAAAATATTTTCATTCTCATCGTTTTACAACCTAAAATGTGAGTTCTATTTCGTCCCTACTGACCGCCAGAGGCGGTGCTTTTAGCACTGGATATGTCCATCGTGCGCATGCGCAGTACGAGTACCAATATCAACAAAGTCACCTGTGACCCACGTGACACCGGCTATATCAGCCCGTGTCATCAGAGGATCTGTTCCTTTCATCTTCTCGCTGCGCGAGAGTACCGTGGCTACACTATTGTAGCCTACAGCGTTCAGTTGGAACGTTTGGATTTAAGGATTTCTCTGCATCCAGCTGGCTGCGTGTAGCTTCGCGACTGATCCAGTCGGAGCCGCGGGATTACCCGTCCTCCAGGAGCTGCGGCCGGCTGCGCAGAAAACTTCAACGGACAGGTTGGTGTCGGCTTGGTCGGTGACGGCAGTGTTTCCACTCCCTCTCCCAGCTAGGTTGTCCTGATTTCTGTCTTGGTTGCTACCTGGCTTGAACTTTCTGGTGACGGTAGCGTTTCCGCCCCCTCTCCCAGGAGTTGCCCTTGTTGCGTTCTCTGTACTTTTCTGATAGCGCGGCGTTGCGCCAAGCTATCATTAGCATCCTGAGTTCCAGCTTGTGTTGTGTCCTCTTGTTTAGCTAGTTAGCAGTAGCGCGGCTCAGCCTAACTGTGTCCTGCCTGGTCAGCCACTTTGGCTGACGCTTGAGGTAAGCACCGGATTACCCGTGCTGGTTTTTCTTTAGAAGCAGTTTCCTTAGCTTGTTTCGCTATTTTACTCAACCAGTGAAGGCAGTGTTTTCACCCCCGCTCCTGGTAAGAGTGTTCCTTGACTGTGAGCAGCAGCCGGCTGGCTGGCTGCCCTGTTAAGCTTCCTTATTTGGTAGCTCTGTGCTTCGTTTACTTAGCTAGGTGAAGGCAGTGCTCTCGCTCCCCGCTCCCTCTGCTAGTAGCTTCGCGCTTTCGTTTACTCAGCTAGGTGAAGACAGTGCTCTCGCTCCCCGCTCCCTCTGCTGGTAGCTCCGTGCTTCGTTTACTCAGCTAGGTGAAGGCAGTGCTCTCGCTCCCCGCTCCCTCTGCTAGTAGCTTTGCACTTTCATTTACTTAGCTAGGTGAAGGCAGTGCTCTCGCTCCCCGCTCCCTCTGCTAAGTAACGCGGGTGTACCCCATTACACCCCTCTCGTGTTCGGCGAGTAGGAGCAGGGCTCTACTCCTTCCGTTCAGCAGGTAACTGGTGAAGGCTGTGTTCTCGCACCCCGCTCCCGGTTACGCTGCATCCGGCTACCTACATGATGGCTCATCCATGTAGCGCCTGTATGGCTTCTCTCGAGCCCGAGGATGGCCACGACCGCTGCCCCTCTTGCCTTGGTCTCGAGCATTTGAGGGAGGGTCTCACGCAGGACGCCTGCATGAACTGTAGATGCATGCCTTGGGCGCTTAGAGCGGCCAGAGTCGCAGAGGTGGAGCGTCTGGCAGAAGCCAACGGACACCTCTCCTTGTCGCATCTTCCCCTAGGTCAGTTTGGCCATTCCCGGCGACCCGAGGGAGCGATGGCTACGGGTTCGCCCCCTAACAGGCTGTCCTCTAAGGTGGATCGGTTAGCCGCCGACATGGACATGATGAAGTCGCTCCTCTTAGCCCTTCAACCAGGGGCCGGTATAGGGGCTGCTGGCTTGCCGCCTGCCCCTCCTTCGGTTGCCGCACCTCTGCATGAGGATGCCATGTCACTAGCGGCCTCGGCTAACCTCTTCAACGAAGAGGTGGAGGACGAGGCCCCGCTCACTTCCGGGGATGCTTCCCACTCCTCTGCTCAGGGCTCTATGCAGGGCGTGGAGGACGCCTCCATGGCGGCCATTATTCGTGCGGCCCTGGCACACTTGCAGCTTCCTGTTCCGCAGGCCGACGCGGCTCAGGCTAGCGCCTTCTTCAGGCGTAGCCCTACCCCTGTCCCCCTCACTGTTCCTCCTTCGGAGGAGTACCTGAGGGAGCTCCATGCATGCTGGAGAGACACTAAGGCCCTCTCCCGCTTCAGCTCTGATAGCCGGACCCTGGCTGCCATGCAGGATCCGGCGAGGGTGGGGCTGGGTCGCATGCCGCCCATCGAGCCTGCCATCGCCTCCCTGATTCTGGCTCCTGATGAGGCCCTAAGGCCTGACGCCAGGTGCCCTCTGCCTCAGTGCAGGGTCACTGACGAACTGCTCTGTAAGGCCTACGATGCAGCGGCACGCATGGGTCGTATCGGGAACTCTCTCTCCCATCTAATGCTGGCCGCCTCCGCCTCTCTGCAGCAGGCTCCGGCTGAGCCTTCTTTGCTGGGCCTCAGTGACGCTTCACTGCAGGCCTTTGCCCTAATGACTAGGGAATTGGGACGAGTTATGTCCCTACTGGTGCAGACTCGACGCCAGGTTTGGCTGGCTCAGTCACCAATCGCACATGCCTATGGGGCCAGTGGCCGCCCCCTGCCATCAGGGGTGAGATGCCACTCTACAAGGAGCGTCTCAACGTCTTGGGCCGCCCTGAGAGGAGTGCCCCTGGAGACCATCTGCGCCGCGGCGTCTTGGGCGTCTTCCGGCACATTCTCCAGGTTCTACCGGGTCAATGTCGCCACTCCCCATCCTTTGGGCGTGGTCCTGTTGCCAAGCTCCGCTGCTTCCAGCTAGGTGAGTATTTGGTTTCTTCATGACATGGTTGGTATAAGTCATCCAGTGCTAAAAGCACCGCCTCTGGCGGTCAGTAGGGACGAAATAGAACGATAGTTACGTCTGTAACTACGGTTCTATGAGTCCCGGATGACCGCCAGAGTTTCCTGTCACTCAGAATTCTTGTGTGCTCGCGAGAAGATTCTGGGAACAGATCCTCTGATGACACGGGCTGATATAGCCGGTGTCACGTGGGTCACAGGTGACTTTGTTGATATTGGTACTCGTACTGCGCATGCGCACGATGGACATATCCAGTGCTAAAAGCACCGCCTCTGGCGGTCATCCGGGACTCATAGAACCGTAGTTACAGACGTAACTATCGATTTCAAACATATAAATAAATCTAATTTACTCAACACATTTTCTCACGGATATATAAAATCTATAAATACGATAAATGCTCTATACATTTAATTACTTGACACATTTTGAGTGTTGACATACTTGCTTCAAAGCTGTGATTTGGTTCAAGTTCTTCCTGAAGCTCTGGTAGCTCTGTGATATTCCAGGAACTTCCATCTAACAGAAAAGAGTATACAGCTCTACATTCAATAGTATTTCAATGCACACACACAAACCGCTTTCCCACAAAACATTTTGAATTGCATCTGCAGACGTTTTTTGGTTTAAATGATTTTGAGATAACCATCTCCTAAATGTTTTACCCATCAAAGAAGGTGAATGGGATTGTGGAGCTCACTTCACTGTAAAATAATGGTTACGTCAGACATCATGCATTCTCAACACACCAAGTTTAGTTTCTTTATAATATTGTTCTGTTTGCTGTTCACCCCATTAACATATCTATCCGTTTAATTCCACAAAAGACTGCTTTGAATTATACAATGCAGTAAACAGACAAGTGTATTACTTTTCAAGACTTCTATACGTAATAAAAATAGAACGACACATAATTACTGTAATTTGTTGTGACTTTTCCTTTACATACCGTTGTTATTGTCGTCCTTTGAGTTATTGTTGGTACTTCCACCTGACAGAAAAAAGTATACAGCTTACAAAGTGATTCAATTGAAGCAGGTTAAAGTGTTGTGTAACTGTCAGGAACTTCCACCTGACAGAAAAGATAATAGAGCTCTCCATTTAATGTTATGTTCATGCACACAAATAGTCATTTTTAACAAAAGCAACTTCTCTTCCCAGGGACATACCTGCTACTCTGAATATTCCACATACTACGCTGGAAAATTATGAAAGAATTGGAAATGTGTGTTTTTTGTAAATAAATGTTGCTTGTAGTATCATCCTTTGTTTCCTTTTTTTATGCTGTATCACCAACACACTTTCATTCCCCTCAATTATATTGGAAACGTCCCACCTGCATGCAACATATAGAATTGTTCCAGCTTACCCGTGAGGAGGAGCAGAAAGAGGAAACCTGCAAACATCCTGACTGGGAGAGGTCAGCAACGTAAATGAGCATCCCTGTCCTCTCTGTGTTTTCTGGAAAGGTTTCTGTAGAGATAATATCTCTACAGAAAGAGGGACGGGAAATTGATTGACCAAATTGTCTTTTTTTTTACTGATTAGTCTAATGATAGAAACTCGCTAATGCAGCAAGGCTTCCAGGAACTGCCAACCATTTCAACACTCAGCCCTCTGTGGTTAAATCCATTTGGATGTCTTAAATGAGCTGTTTCATTCTTGCTTCGGCTGTTGCGGCTGTTTGTTTTCCAAAGTAAAGTAGTTCATTGTCAGAGCTGCTTTTGGATGCAAGAAACTACAATTTACATTTCAAATAAACAACACATAACCTCCGATGTGACTGATTACTGCATGTGTCAAGCTTTTCCATCACTTCCAGGCACAGTAATGTCTTTATTCTTTGTAGACTTTACATTCAATGCTTTTGATTCAGTTGCGAGTTGGACTTGAATAGTTTGACAATACTATTTGTTTATTATGGCCATCACAATATATCTGAATGTATATATCGATTAAATGATGGATGATCCAATCTTATTGATACAAAGTGAATACATCCTTTCATATAATCTAAAGAGGTGTAATGTTTAATACCAAACCACATGATCCAAAGACAAAGGGAGCGGCATTACATATCACCAACTGGTTCCATATTTAAACTAATTTGTTATAAAAAACGGCTGAAACCTGTCAAAAAGACATTTCAATTTTAAAGGAGAGGTGTCATGCTTTTCCGGTTATTACCCGTCCCCTTGTGTGTT